CATTGAGCGAGAATTAAGTGTCTGCTGTTTGCTGTGCTTGTGGCGCTGGTGGCCAGCAGCCCATGGCCTGTGCCTTCAGTCCTTCTTGGTAGAGTGCCCCTGTGCGCCCGTGTGCCTCTGTCCATCATGTGTGCAGCTCTGTGCCCGTGGGTGCCCTGGCTAAGCCTGTGTACCTGTGCTTCGACCCAGCAGCCATGCCTGCCTTCAGCTTGGAGGCAGTGACTGCTCGCTTTTATGTCGTGGGTAGTTCAAGTTCAGAATGTCAGATTCTATTTCAGATATTTAAAAACAGCCCTTAGTATCAGTTATTTAGCTTTAAAAGCTAAGGTGACTTTCTCTTTGAGGGCATCCGTGGTAGCAGTAAGCAATTAGTTTTATATGACTATCCATTTTTTAACTTAAGTTTATAGGTAATTTGTAGGATGTTTTATCAAGTATTTTAAAGGTATCAAATGGGAAAAAAAGTAAATGTGTGTATAAGTCACTGTTTTTTTTAAACGTGAAGCCATGAAATTTGTTTTAAATCTTGGTTTTAAGCAGAGAAATAACAGCATCAGTTTACTAATGAAAAAATTTTCCCCGACATCTAATATGGAAAAATACATAAAGTACAGAATGCATCTGATTCGATCGAGCTCTGAGTGTCTCTGACATGGTCACTGTGGGTGACAGCGTTCACGAGGCACTGCAGCCCCCTTCCCATCCCCACGCGCGCACCGAGGGCTCGCTGCGTCAGAGGGTTTACATTGGCAGAACCTCTCGGCTCCTATTCGAGCCAGGTTTTTAAAAAAGTGAACATATCATGACACTGCATTTACATAGGGCGACTTTAAGACAAACATTTTTCTGAGAGAGACGCAGAGAAACTGTTTTGTACTGGGCGCTCAGTACAGCTGCACTTGGGATGTCCCTGTTGAGAACTGGGTGGCACGCTCAGGCCTGTCCCAGGGATGCCCCAGTAGGAGCAGGGGCCTTGGAGGGGTGGCTCTGCTGTGCTTCCTCCCCGCTGACTGAAGTGCTGGTCGTCTGTCCTTGCATGTCCACCGTCCCGGCTGCAGCGTGAAGCGTGCCAGTTCCCTGAACGTCCTTAACGTGGGTGGCAAGGCAGCTGAAGACCATTTCCAAGTGAGGAACCCACACCACGACGGCCCCTGACCCACCTAGACAAGGTCAGCTGTGCCGACCTCCCTTGGCACCACTGTCACCTCCAGGGCCTTGCAAACGTTTGAGTGGTTCTGATCTTAGAAATTGGCCTAAGAATGGTATTTTCATACTCTGCATTAACTTAGGTAAGTCATGTGGCCATTCTCAGTATGTTACTAATCTTTAAGAATAGATTGGCCTAATTAAAAGTAAATGTCTGATAAAGTAACTTTAAAACCTGGCCAGTTAATGTGTATGATTTTAGCCTCTATTAAGTTTATAACTAATTTGTCTAGTTAAGCTGTTGTTCGGGGTTTTAAAACTATTCAGAACTTTACGAATGAACTTGGACGCTACAATCCTTTCCTACCTTCGTCCGCCGTCCAGGTCTCACATGAACATGTCACCTTCACATTTAAAACTTGGCCATGCTGGTCTCTGTCAGAAATGGCCTTCTTATTTATTTATTTTTAAATATCTAGTGTGACTGTTGGGGTGCAGCCAGGCCCTTAGACCCCAGAACCTGGCTGTTTCTCAACTGAGCAGCCCAGACAGCATATGTGAGAGAAATCCTGGGCCTTCAGTTAATGCTTGTCCGCACCATCAGGTCCGCAGCTCTCCCAGGGGGCCTGATCCACCCGGCAGACTGTCCACGTTCACTGTCAGTAGCGGGCCTTCCTCAGTGCCTGGCACCCTGGGAGTTGACTGTCCCTGGGCGCTTCTACCAGGCTGCTGGTCAGGAGCTGTGAGATGCTGGCAGGAGGCTGGGTGCTTTAGGCACTTGTGGCAATGAAAGCAGAAGAAGGCACTTCTGCCTTAACAGGCCCGGGGCTGTCCCAGTCCTCTCCCCCTACCCCTGGTGTTGAGCGCCCACACACCTGAGCTCAGGCCGCCTCTGGGCCTCGGCTCAGACACTGGCAGCGGTCGGTGCTGGTTGAGTCCCCTGAAGCTGGCATGGGGAGTACTGGTTAAGTATAATTTTTCCATTTGTTTTTTTCACGCAGGAATGAAATAATTATCTGGCAGACTTGAGAGCATTGAGTGCCAGCCACACTGACCTGGCCCACTGAGGGTGGGGGCAGAACTAGACAGAACCCCCAGGACTAACGAGTCCCAGGCCCTCAAAGTTGCACCAAGCCCCTCCCTACTCTGCGCCAGCCCGCGTCATCTCCAGATAGTGACCTCCACTGCCCCCTGTGTCCCCGGAGGTTTGCCTGCGTTCCTAGTGACCATGAGCTGTGAGAGCATGAGACCGAGGCAGGCGTGACCCGGCAGCTGCTCACCACACTGGCGCTTTCTGCCAGGACACTGAAGTCTGTTTTAAACTTTAATACTATATTCAGGCTGTAAATTAAGGCTCTGGAACCTTAAACGGCATCCTTTTAGGGTCAGCATCTGACCTGTGGCAGGAATGTCTGGAGTTGGAGGCAGGCGGGTGATGCTAACCCAGAGGAACGGTGGCTCGCCTAGGCCTTTACCCCTGGGTCCTTGGAGAGCGCTCTGCCCTGCCCTCAGGAGCCTGTTTCTGTGTGCTGGCCCTGTGCACTAAGCACACAGAGATGCATGTTTTAATTTTAACCATTTATAGAATTAAGTACCACGAGGTGGGTTTTGATGGGAACATTTTCAAGTAAGTCTGAAGGCATTGTTCCATAGGGGACCTCTAAGACCACCTGGTAGGGAAGAACCGTGACAAGGTAAGAGCTAGTAGCTAGACTTCGTCTACCCAGAATGCAGAGGTGCCTCCTTCAGATGCGAAGGGGGACCTGAGAATCTCCAGGCATCCCTGCTGCTGCTTTGGTTTCCCGCTCCCTGCGCTGCGATGACAGGCGGTGGTGGTCCGGCGAGGGCGCTGGTTTGCATTGGCTCACAGGCCAGGCACCCTCCAGTGTGTGGGTCCTTCAGGCCATGTGTGGACATGGGGCTGAGGGTTGGAGGCAGCAGCACCCTGGGGGTCTCTAAGGAAGAGGCCTGTCCCTTAGTTGCACACACCTCATGGCGTGGGCTGCTTGTGCCTTGACGGTGTGCTTGCTTCTGCCCAGACGCGGGCCTGCGCGGACGGGGCCCTCGGGCTGACAGGGTCTCCTCTGGCCACCCTCCTTCCCTCGGCTCCTGACTCCGCTGGGCCGTGCAGCTGCTGATGGGTGAGGAACTGGTTTCCTACCTGCTCTGCTCTCTGGATGTGTTTAAGAATTCGATGGGCTGAGACACCACCAGGGTGAGCAAGCTGTGCCCCTGCGCAGGTGCCACGGCCTCTTGAAGTTCGCATTTCGGGTGCGGTGGGGGTGCCGTGGCATTGCCGCAGTGCTGTGTGCGTGTCCCACGTTGTAGCTGTGCCCTTTCCCCCTTCCTTCCATTCCCCCTGAACTTGATTTTCAACCACAAAGCTGATATGGTACATTTGAAATCCAGTTTCTCTTAGTGACATTTCTCCCTGGAAAAATGAAGGGAATTTAGAAAGAATAAACGTGGGGTGAGAGTAGAATTTAATTTTAAGCCTCCAGGTGATGGGCTAGGACCATCTCCGCAGGTGCGCTGTTGAACCTGGCCTGGCTTCTTCAGGGCCGTGGTGGCCCGTGCGAGGCTGGGTGGTGCACGTCGGGGCCGTAAGGGCTCCCGGGGCGCCGCGGGGGAGTCTTCAGTTTCTAGCTGGAACTTCTATCAAAATAGATACAAGCTGGCTCTGGCTCATAACCACTTCCAAGTCTGATGGCCTCAAGTTCAACAGTCTTGATTCAGAGCAGCAGCGGGCACAGCACCCCCTCCTCCCCGGTGTGTCCCCTCCCCGTGAAGGGGCCTAAGCTCGCTGGCTCCCTGGGCCCTGCTTCTGCATGGTTCCTGTCACATGAGCCCCCGGCCGGAGGGCAGACGGGAGTGGGCGAGCGGCCAGAGACCCGTCCTTCTCAGCGTGTGAAAGGGGGAGTCCGTCTGAGGGTGGGGGCCGCGGGGGAGCCAGCTGGGCCTTCTGACCCTCCCAGATGTTCCCGGGGCAGAGGAGTGGGCGGCCGGCTCCGCAGTTTGGTCTTTGTATTTACAACATTGGAGGGGTTCAGACAGTGACTTTCTGGAATGAAAAAAAGTTCCTATCACTTGCTCAGAAAGCTGCTAGGAATGTCATGTAATTAGCAATTCAGTGTTACAAAATATAAATATTGCTAAGGATATATAGTTTACATTTATAGAACAGCTCTCTCTCATGGTAACTTTATAGCATGTTCTTAGAGGCATGTTATGTACAAGGCTAACATACCTGCATGTGCTTTCCAGTCATTGCTGTCGGATGTCGCAGGTGGTAGGGTGGCCCTGACAGCCCTGAGCAGAGGAGGTTCATTCAGGTCAGCTGAGCCGGCCTCGCTGGGCCAGCGACCTGCCCGTGTGACTAGGGCAGTCGTCCGTGGGCTGGCACGTTAGGATGAGTCGTTTCCAGCTGGCTACCCAGCATTACAGGGCATTCAGGGATGTACACAGTGGGGTAACTGGCCCAGGGTGGGAGGGGCCCCCGGTCTGTCAGGACCGCCTGCCCATTCCGGGGGTGGAGACAGTGCTGGCAGGGAGGGTGGGCGGCTACTCCTCCCCACGCTGGGCCCCCTTCTGTGCCCAAGGCACCGAGAGCCCTGCTGCAGGCATGGCCCTTGGGGGGTGGGGGTGGCATGGTGTCAAGCTTGCTAGCCTGGCTGCCCTGGTGGGGTCCTGCTGCTCTGCCCCCCCCAGGGGTGGAGACACGGGCAGATGGGCACTGTCTTGGAGCTGTTTTCTCATTGGTATGATAGATCATGTGGGATGGTTTACATTTAATGTAAAAGTCTTTTATTTCCTGTTGTAAAGTCCCTGCACTTTTGCAGAAAGATTCAATAGAATTCCAACCCCAAAATAATTTTTTATTTTTTATGCCAGCCATTCTTAGCCTTTTTAGGGTCACAGATAACTTTGAAATGGTGATGAAAGTCATAAATGGACTCGTCCTGCCCTAGAAAGCTGTACAGAGGCTGCCCGATGACAGGGACGCACGGCCTGTCCCAGTGCTGGCCTGGGGGCTGGGGGCCCTGGCTTTCCTGGCACAGGATGAGGGAGGATGGCTAAGCCCCTTGACCTTGCCTCAGTTTCCCTACCTGGGAGCAAGGATCAGAACTGCCCTCTGTCCAAGGGCTGGAAAAAGGACATATACCAACATGGATGAAATACTTAGGATAGGGCCTGGCAGAGAGCAAGTCAGTCCCGAAGGGTCGAGGAGGCCCCTCTGCATTCTCATTGCACAGCTCTGTCCAAGGCGATCCCGCGCTGTGCCAAGCGGCGTGGTGGGGCCCAGCACTGCCAGCACGGAAGGGGTGGTGGGCGTCACCCAGGCTCATCATGGTCTGCCTCCCGGGAGCCCCGAACCTGGCGAGGCTGTGCCAGCTAACAGTGCTGCCCCCCTCACCCGTGGAGCTGGAAGCCTCTGCTAGGAACGGGGCTTCTTGGGACCCGGCTGACTGCAGCTGCCGCGTCAGCAAGACTCAGTCCCAGGCGTCCCTCGCACGCCCTTGGCCATGACTGTGTAGGAGCAGGACGAGGGGGGCAGGTGTGGGGCAAAGCCCACACGCAGGGTGCGGCCAGGCTGGCCCGGGACAGCCTCCTCAGGGCGGCGCCGATCCACCAGCAGCCTCATTAAGAGTTGGTTGGTCCAGGTCAGCCCCAGGGCTGGGGACACCCGCTCATTCCAGAGGCTGAGACAGAAAGCAGGCCCCGTTACAAATGCCCGGACCCGCCCGAGCCTCCCTCCTGCCGTGGGCCAACCCTGCTCACCCCACCGGCCCGAGCTCCGCGCCCTGCTCCTCCAGGGCCTCTGTCACCTGCAAGACCAGAGCAGGGTCCACTGCACCAGGGCCACTGCCCCCGCCCGGCCACCCCCCACCCTCCTGAAGAGCCCGCGGGGCCGGCCCAGCTGGGGGTGGGCAGGGGGCAGCAGGCGGCGCACCTGGTTGATGCACAGCACCGGGCTTCCGAAGGCGCAGCTCAGCCGGCGCAGTGTGGCCCCCAGCGCCTGCAGACACCTGGCCCTGGGGACCGAGGCCGGGCCGCCAAACTCGCAGCGGAACGGGGCTGCCACAGAGTCGATGACCACCAGGCGGGCCATGCCCCGGGACAGCAGCACGGGGACCTTCTTACTGACACACTCCAGCAGCGTGTCCTAGGAGCCACAGGGAGGTGGTGGTCACCACCCACACTGCTCTCATCACACCCTCTGCCCTGGGCCAAGGGACCCCCTCCCATCCTTGCCATGTGCCCGCAAGTGTCTGGCGGGCCAGACCTCCTCCCTCAGTGGCTGCCACCATCATGGTCACGGGGCTGGGCCCTGACCACCCCACCCAGCAGGGGGATGGGAGTGCAAGGCAGTGGGGCGGGACTCCAACCCATCCTGCTCCTGTTCTCTTAAGTGTGAGACTCTGGGCTGTAGCACCAGGTGGGCACTGCAGTGGACCCCTGGCTGGTCCTGCCCGTCCTGTGCTGAGCAGCCTTGGCCTGGTCGGGGGTGGGTGGGCAGGCGGCCACACAGTGACCATCGACCTAGAGCTCTCAAGATCAGTCGAGCTTCTAGTTCCTGCCCCAGAATGAAATTCAGTTCTGTGCTTCAATCTCCAGGGCGTCTCCAGTCGAGCCTCTTTTTGTGGAAAACGACAGCAGTAGCTGCCTGGAAGACGCTCACCCTAACGTGAGTCCTCAGCCTGGCCAGCACAGGCAGCTCTCCGGGCACCTGGGGGCCAACAGGTGGTGGCTACGCCCATTTGCTGCAGGGCCAGGACTGGGAGGGGCCTAGCTTGGACCCGTCCCCAGGGAGAAGCGGGGGACCGGGGCCCTGAGGCCCTGCTGGTGCAGGAGGGGGCATGCCTGGTCAGCACTGCCGGCTTCGGGCTTCGGCATCCCTCCAGAGCATTTCCAGAACTCCACTGAGAAGCGCCGCCAGGGGGCCCTGATCCTCCGCCTTCCCTTTCAGTGAAGCCATGCCTGGCCCCGCGGGCCCAGAACGACACTGCTCGTGAGCAGCCAGAGCCAGCCCTGTGACGGCGGGGATGGCTGCCGAGGCGGAGGGCGTGGAGCTGGGCATCCGCAGCACTGACCTCGTCTTCTCCCGCGTCCCTGCGGGGAGCACGCCGTCCTTCTGACACCTGCACTACCTGTCCTGGCGCGCACTGCTTGCAACGCCTGGCCACCCTTGGCCCTTGACGGACAGCAGGGCGAGCAGCCTCCCTCCAACCCTTCCAGGGAAGCCCCAGGCCGCCGCAGTCCTGAGCTTGGACTTAGAGGCCTTGAGTGCCATTGCCCCTTGTTACTTCCCTGCACTACGTGTGATAATGTTTTATTGTAAATTTTTTTTTAAATTAAAACTTTAAACAACTTACCCTTCACTTTAAATTCCTTTTATAACAATTCTTACCTGGGGAGTGGCCCCCCCTAGAGCTCTGGCCTCGGGCCACCTCCCTGTGCAGAGGCCGTATCCACTCGTCCTTGGAGTGCGGCTTTTCTAACACCTCACCTTTCCTTTGAATACTTAGCACCCACAATTCATCATCAGCTAAGCTGAAAAGGTGACTAGACAGTGGCTCTGCTCCCCCTGCTGGCGGCGTCATCCCCTCCCCTGCTGCCCCCATCCATGGGGAGGGGGTGGGCGTCCCTCAACTCTGCCCATGGAGAGGACTGGGGGACTCGATGTTCCCGAATGTGCAGCCCGAGCTGCGTGACCAGGTGGTGGGCAGCAGTCTGCGTGGCTTGTCTGGGCTGGGTGCCCACTAGGCCCTGCCAGCTGGGGAGCCTCCTGTGCCCCCAAAGGGGGCTTTCCATCAGAGGCAGAAATAAAACCCCACAGACTCCCCTTTGTCGGGAGGGCTGACTTGCCAGGTGGTGGTCTCCTTGGCCGGGGGAGCAAGGGGCAACCGAGGCCTGTCCAGGGACCTGGGGGCCTCCCTCCCCTTTCCTCAGGGGCAGGGCTGACAGAAAACATACAGGATGCCCTGCTCAACCCAGTTCCAGCCAAGGAACAGTGCTGCTCATCTGAATGCAGGGGACCGCTTCCCTGGAGCATGCTTCCCTGCTGACTGACCGCCCGGTGTCCTGTGGGGGGGTCCCCTGCCCCCCAGCTCACCCTCAGCGCCTGGGCTGCAGAGGCAGCACACTCACCACGTCGGCCGCATGCTCGACAAAGATCTGGTCACCAAATTTTATCGTCCTGATTACCTTCCCGGGAACATCGGTCCGAAGGTGCTGCAGAGCCATGAGCTGCTGCAGCCGCTTGTCAGGGAAGGCGTCCTCCGTGCAGATGTAGATGGCGCCTGGGAGAACAGCCCGCAGGCACAGGGAAATGGGCCCGGGCCTGGGTGGCCCTCCTTCCTGACCCCTGCCCCGCCTCCGGCCCAGCTGGCCTCCCACACACACTGCCACCTCACCACGGGAAGTCACCCGGGCGCTGTGCCCTAAGCCAACCTGGGAGAGTGGAATCATTGGGGCCTATGGGCTTCTGGACATGCCCCCTCCCACAGATGCAGGGCAAGTCCCCTCCGAGGCTCTGAGGGGCAGATGCCTCCTCCAGTCTGCATTCAAGGCTCCTACAATCCTGGGCTGGGTGGTGATGGTCTCATCTGCTGCCACTGGAAAAGCCAGCACCCCGGGGCCTGAACACCCCGATGGCAACAGGCCGGCCCAGCCTGCAGGCCTTCATACTCTGTAGCTAAAAGAATGGGGGACTACCCCAAATAAACCCTGCCCTACATGGCAACTAATTCTCAACCCACGATGCTGATACAGCTGGACATTCACACAAGACGCAGAACACAATCAGGTCCGTGTCTCAGCCAGTGTACAAGCAAGACCCGAACGAGTCACACGCGGGGGCCCAAACAAGCTCCTGGAAGAAAGCGGGTGAATATCTGCGACCCTGGACTAGGAAGTGGACTCTTAGGACACAAAAAGCACAGGAAGAGTAGACAGATGACTTCACCAAAATGAAAGACAGCTGTGCTTCAAAGGACACCATCAAGAAAAGGCAGGCAGGCCACGGAGAGAAGGCCCCGCAGGCCACGGGCCTGAGGGGTCCAGCGGCCGGGGAGTGAGGCGCTCCTGCGACTCAAGCACAGAGACGGCCCAACTCCAGATGGGCAGAGGACTTGAAAGGACACCTCTCCAGAGAAGTGCGAATGACCAGCAGGGACACCAAAGACGCTCAGTGGTCAGGGAGAGATGCCTGCAACTCCAGCAGAGCTGCTCGGCGCCCAGCGGGGGCTTTCCTGCCCGGAGCGGGTGCAGGCGCTGCCAGGGACGTGGGGAGGTGAACCCTCGTGAGCTGTTGATGGGAAGTAAGATGGTGCAGCTGCTGCTTTTAACAGCCTGGCAATTCCTCAAAGCTAACCACGGGGTCACCCTGTGCCCCAGATTCCACTCCTTGGCAAGTGCCTGGCCCAGGGAGACGAGACACAGCCACCCAGAGCCAGGCACACAGGTGCACACGGATGCTCACAGCCACACGACTCGCAGGGGCCTGAATGGGCGACCCCCCAGGGGACGCCAGCGGCCAGGCGGAGGGACCAATATGGTCTCTACACGGAGGACTGTCACCGGCCACACGGAGTGAAGTGCCCACGGCCAGCAGTGGTGAGTGCTGAGGACGTCACCCTGGGTGCAGACGTGCCAGGCCACACCTGTGGCCCCAGGCATGTGGGCTGCCCAGGACGGGCACAGAGCCAGTGGAGTGGTGGGGTTGGGCCCGGCGCAGCTTTCCTTCTGAGCCACTGAAGTTCTGAACTAGATGGCAGTGATGGAGCACAGCCTTGTGAGCATAAAAACCATTGAGTCATCCATTTAAAGAGTGAATGTTGTGGCACGTGAATTACATCTCAGTTAAAGACCAGCAGTTGGAGAGCTGAGTGCGGGCCGCGCTCCACCGACTCCTGGGCCGCAGCCCATCGGCTCGGCCTGCTCGGCCCCACTCTTCTGCCCCAGGGGACCACAGTGCCACACCAGGTCTGTGCGCCCTGCCTGTGAAGGCGTGTGTAACTTTAATTTTGACCTAATATTGTTCCAATAGAATTGCTAACTGGGAAAGAGATGTGAGATGGGACCGGGTGGCCTGAGCAGAGCCTGGCTGTATGGGATTAGCTCCTGACCGAATCCTTGCACATTCCACTCATTCCGCAGGCACATGCCGCCTGGAGACAGGGCTGGGCGCCACTGGCCTTCAGGCAGCTGGGCGGAGGGGTGGCCGGATGGGTGGTCAGAACCAAACCTGAACAGCACCTGTGTGGCCCTCAAGGCTCCCTGTCCGGGCATCCCTGCAGCCGCCCCCACCTGCCAGAGGGGCTGCACCACCGCCATGGTGGGAGGGTGGCCCCAGCAGAAGGCAGCAGGCTGGGGGCTGGGGGCCCAGGTCTTAAGGCAGGATTCAAATTGACTCCAGCACCTCTTTGCCATTCTTTTAAGTCAGGGCCTACAGATCTGATTTGGGGAAATGACATCATTTTCTCCAGAAAACATACACACCGGACCCAACATTCAACGTGGCCACCACAGCCATGGGGGACCCATTCATGCCCTCCACCAGGCCACTGCGAGAGGCCCACAGGGCTGTCTCCGGCCTCCCCCAGGCCTCCGTGATGGTCACAGCTGCTTTCCCGAGGGCTGTACCTCTGGAAGCGGGCTCACACCGCCCTCCATGCCTGCTGCCCCTAGGACCTCACCGGTCACCCTCTAGCGTCACATCTGCCTGCCCTGCTTTCTCAGCGCCCTTGCCCCCCTCTGGTGGGTGTGAAGCAGGTACAGCCGGGGGGCATGGGCCTGGGAGCCCCGTCACCTGCAGGGCCCCCGGGGAGTCTGTGTGAGGTGACACGGCCCACCAGAAGACACCCTGTGCTGGCACAGGACGGGGCGGGAACTCCCAGGCCAGCAGTGGACAGGGGCCTTCCCCACGCAACAAGGGGGTCAAGGGGGTGTGCGGACAGGACCGGGCTCTGCCGTGGGATGTCAGGAGCCCAGTGTTGGCAGGGAGGGGCGGAGGGGCCCCGGGAGGGCCTGCCCTGTGGCGCCCCCCTTCTCTTCTGGACAGGCCAGAAGGGGTCCACGTGCTCGGGCCCACACCGCATCCAGATACAGACCAGGCCTGGGCCCTGTGTGGACGTGATGCCAAGAGCAGCTGATGGTGCGGCCGTTCCAGGAGACACAGGTCCCCTGGGGCCCCTGCCGGGCCAGACCATCTGGGGACATCATGCAGCAAACATGAGCAGGCTCAGGAGACCCTTGGGATCAAGATGCGGTTGCCAGCCCTGTGCTCTGCACTGGCCCATCTCGGGCACAGCCTCCACCTGCCCGGCTCCCCTGGGAAGGCGATGGGGCAGAAGCAGTGGCACGGCTGGCACAGATCTGCCCCGAGCTTGCAGGAGGGCACCCCTACTTCACTATGAGCAGACTCCAGTCTGCTGCCATGGCCCCTCTTCTGACAGGGCAAACTAACACCCCTGCTTCTGAGGCCTGAGCCGCCCACTGGGCACCAGGAAGCCTCAGACAGCACTGCAGAGGCCCTGGGCCCTCCTGGCCACACATTTGCCCAGAGACACAGGGACAGGAGGTGCTGTGCAGACCTGGCAAGGCAACCCCCAGATGAGGTCAGGGGACCCTCTGGCTAAACCCACAGGGCCCCTGTGCCCAGCACATGGAACAAAAGGGACACAGAAGCAGACTCCAAACCCTGCCTGGCCGGAGATCCCAGCTGACAGGGACCCGCCAGGGCTCAGCAGCAGGTCTGGCAACTGGGAGAGGGGCCGTGTGGCCGGGGCAGGGGCAGCGCGGCTCGAGCACCCCATCCGGGGAGCCAGGCGAGCACCAGGGTGCTGGTGGCAGCACAGTGAGGAACCGGCAGCCGCATCGCGTCTGCTCCAGTCACCCCATGCCTGGCAGGGACAGCCGGACTGTTTAACACTTGGGAGACCCAAACAGGCGGCCCTGAGAAGTGCCCCTAATTCTGGGCACAGCCACACCGCCCGTGCCACCCCCGGCCCCACTCCCACTAACACCCCTCGGCCTGAGCCCCCACCCTGCAGACCAAATGCTCTGTGGGCTCATGAGGGGGGAGCGCGGGGCCGTGGGGCTCAGCCGGTGACTGCCTTGGGGTGCACACGGGGCGGGCAGGGGCTGCACCCGCCTGAGCCCCCAGGCTCACCTGCTCTCCCCGGGAGAGGGGTCGCAGAGAGACCCTGGAGAGAGTGGGGCGACTGCGACCCACCCGAGGGAAAGCAGCGCCAGACAGAGCTGGGGCCGCAGCTGCTGGGCGGGTCCCCGTCGCCCCAGTGTTGCCCCAGGAGGTGGCCACTCACCGGCCTCCAGGCCTCCGTATCGCCGTGGAAGCTGTACGGCCAGGCAGAGCTGCAGTGCGAGCTGGGTCTTCCCGGCCGAGCTGCAGCCGGCCAGCTCGGTGATGCCGTCCAAGGGCAGCCCGCCGCGGAGGAGCCCGTCCAGCACAGGGCAGCCGAGGCTCAGGCGCTGGTGCTGTGCGGGGAAGCTCTCGGGTTGCTGCTGCAGGTGGAGGGCTGGAGGGGCGGGCAGGGCATCAGGCCTGCCTCTCCTGGAGCCCTGCTGCTGGCCTGCAGCCCACAAGGCAGGTCCTTCCATGCCCGGGCCCTCCTCGCCACAGCACTGGGCTCTCCCTGACTGCCACCTCACCCCTGCCCTCCAGGGCCAGCAGCATGTCCCCCTGCCCCATGCACACCGGTCCGGTGCCGTGGAGGACACTGCACGAGGAGTGGCCTGGGGTTCAGCTAAAGCCAGGCACCCGGCAGAGCAGATGCCCGCCCTGCCCACCTGTGAAGACGCTGCTTCCCCGCAGGTGTGAGGAGGCCGTTCTCATCAGGTACTGCACATCAGGGCCAGAGAGGCCACTCAGTCTCTGCAAGTCTGGTCCAGAGAAATGCAAAACCTCCTTTACCGATTTCAGTTTGGCTGAAATTATACAAATAACAGGACAAGGTCACATTATGGTAACACGAGGCCACAGAGCAACCACAGCTGTGGTTTTTGGGGCATTGTCTTCCACTCTGGGGACTTGGTGGGCAGGGGCCAATCTATCTGTTCCCTGAATCTGAGGGGACCCTGGATGGAGTGTGATGCGGACGGCCAGGAGGGAAGGGGACAGGGGGGCCCCGCCTCCCGGCTGCAGCAGCTCCAGCCAGAGGTGGCCAGGGGGCTCTCCCAGACGCCAAGAGCGAGGCTGCCACCAGGCTCCATGCCCCAGAAGCCTGTCTCAAGAAAGGAGGCTTCTGCAGAGCCAGCCCGCATGCAAGGCCAGGCCAGAGGATGAGCTGGGGGCCGGGGAGAGCCCCGCACGAAGGAGGTCAGGACAGAAGGGGGCCAGGAACCACTACAAGTCCGTGCGGCATAGTGCAGGGTGGCGGGATGGCTGTGGGGAGGACCCCAGGGTCAGTGCTGCCAATGGACCCACCACTTCGGGGGAAGAAAGTTAATCTTGGCTTGGACAAGCACATTACTTTCAAACCAGCAGGAAAAAAATGCTAAAAATACATTCAATCAGAAAAAAGCAAAAAAGAAAATCACATAAAAAAGGAACAGGACAGATAGCTCAGCACAGTAACAGTTACACCCAAATTTATTGGGAATTACCTTAAACACACATGCTCCAGTTAAAGACAAAGCTGGTCAGGCTGGAGGAAAGGAGAAACAGGACTACCGATAAGCTCCCTGGAAAAACCAGTAGCCAAGGAGGAAAAAGCAGAGCCCCAAGACTGTGCCCATGCAGGTCGGCACCACACCCCTGCCCCGTGCACGCTCAGAGGTCTGCATTATGTGGCCAGTGAGTGTCCCAGTGGGAGCCTCGGGGGACAGAGAAGACAGAGGGCCAGGGCCCAGCGGGTGCAGGGGGCCTGCACAGGGAGTGAGCCGAGCCCCAAGCCTCCGGGCACTCGGGGGAGGGGGGCCCACTGGTCTCCACAGAGCTCCCGCAGGGTGTGGGAAACATCAGTGGAGTTCAGCATGCAGCACACAAAAAACGAGGGCAAGTACTGACTCCAGGAGAGAAAAACAAGACGGCACAAGGAATGGTCACAGCCCTGATGGCTAAGGTGACCCAGACTGGGCTCCGGCTGTGGGGGAGGGGACGGAGGAAGCAGGGGCATGCGGGGTGCCAGCAAGTAGCCCTCAGCCTGTAGCAGGAAGTCTGACTGATCAGTGACACCCCAAAGCAAACACGGCCGTTGAAGCGCGGTCTTTAAAAACCCAGATGTGAAGACCTGACTTGGGAGTGCAGAGTTCCTTTCACTCCTTAGACATGGTGCATGAATTATTTTGATGAAAATAAGATGAACTTTTAAAAAGTCCTCTGTTACACCCCCGCCCCAGAATCGCGGCACAGTCCAGCACCAGAGTCCCGATGAGGATCAGAGCAAGTGAGGGGAGGGGCCAGGCAACCTACTGGTCTCACACAAAGTGTGTGTGTACATCCCTGCATTTTACACGTGTCTTACATAAAGATCAATATACCTTTCTTAACTGCAGCAAGAATCCTGGGGTTCAGGTCCAGCTCATCCAAATCCATTTCCTCAGTGGGTGGAACATAAAGACGAGTAACTTCCAGGGGCACAAATTCCAACACGCCTGCTGTCAACTCAAAACCGCCTGGGAGCCGCGCGCAGCAGTGCTGGTGCCCCAGTGTGCAGACGCCTGGTGATGGGTTCCCGTGAGCCCAGAGGCTGCAGAGGGCACGCTGTGCCAGGCAGACCAGCCAGGTGCGTCTAAGGCAGGTCAGTCCCCACTGATGCGCGGGCTCACCCCGCAGCTGAGGGACGGGCTGGCAACGGACCCTGCTGACCCGCCTCTCCGGGGCGAGGACGATGTGTAGAATGAGATCCGTCGCATCGGGCTCACTTGGGTGCGGTTCCTTTTGCCTTCTCCGGTTTGACGTCCCCGAAGTGTGTCTCCATGGGGAGTCTGGGCAGTGCGAAAGGAAGTTCTGGATCTCACGGGATGCCGGGGGCCCCAGAACCCCCGATCACAGGCTGTCGAGCGGGGTCAGCGGAGACATGTGGGCTGGGTGGGCGGTGGTGGCCTTGCCCCGCAGCCCCCACCCTTCCTGGCCAGCCCCTCTCAGGGGGAGTGGCCGCAGCTCTTCCACAGCCCGAGCACCGAAGGCAGTGGGGACAGGCTCCCAGCCCAGCCCGCGGCCAGGGGCTCCGCCCGGGGGCCCGTAGGAACCTCCAGCAAGCCACTCTTTTCCCCTTGTAGCTGCCCAGGCCACAAGGCCCAGAATGCAGCAGGGCGTTTAGGACGCCGAGAGTGGCTGCCATGCAGGCAGAATTCAGAGTCAGTGTCCACCAGCAGGGCCTGGTCCTCCCGGCCACTCCTGAGCTGAGGGGCAGGCTCCCCACAGTGGACTCCACCTTGCAATGCTTAGAACATGACTGGCTTGGACAATGGCCAGGTCACATGCATTCCCAGGCTGGCACCCTGGTCAGGGAGACATAGGTTTGCCTCCCAGGAGGGCTGTGACACCCAGAGCCAACAGTGTGAGTTCCGGGCATGTGCCATTGACATGCCACCTCGGGAGGCTGGTGCTCCACGGGCTGGCTTCCTGCCCAGGCACAAGGCTCCTGGGGCCCGTGGCCCACAGCCTGGTCCTGTGTCCCCTGGAGCAGGGATGGGGCCTTGCTGGCTGTTAGGGTGGGGCTGACAGAACATGACCGAGGCAGGGACACACACGGGCGCCCGGCCCGAGCAACCCCCACGGCTGCAAATTGAGAAGGGTGGCTCGGCCATCGGAGGGCCCCAGGGCCAGCTGCACTGTGAGGGTGCTGGGGACTGTGCCCAGCCCGGACCGAGCCCCAGGGCCGAACAGTCAGTGCTGGCAGGGTTGGTGGCCAGTGCGAGGTTACATTCCTGAGGACAGAGAGCGACTCCAAGCCGAGCAGGCAGAGGAGACTCGTGGGCCTGCCTCGCCTGGCCTGGCAGGGAGATCTCAGAGCCCAGAGCCTGAGGACAAGAATGGACAAGGCGACTAGGACGCCGCCCAGAACACCCTGAACAAAACAAAGTTTTAAAATTCTGGAGAAGGTGTATGTGAGCCCAGGCAGGCTCACCACAGCCTCAGGGCGGTGCCTGGATATGAAGCTTGGATCCTGACAAGCAGCTGGACATGGGCAGGAAAATGGCAGGTGACTGCGGCGCCTCAGGCTTACAGGATGGGCCGAAAGGGCACCTGGATGCACAGCAGCCCAAGAGTAACAGCTCCCGCCAGACACAGCCCCAGGCAGGGCTGCCCGTGGCCCTGTGCTCTCCAGCCATGCCGAGGTCTGCACACAGGACGCAGCAGAGCCTGGGGCATCGAGTGAAGCTATCTGCTTTGGGGACAGTCAACGTCCTGTGCTGCTGGGGAGCGCAAGGGGACTATTCCCATCAAACACGAGACTTCCTGGACACTCCTGTTACTTCCTGGAGCAAAACCCTGCGCCTTCCTGGGTGGAATGACTGTCCTTTCTTTGGAGTTCTGGGATTGGGGCAGGCCACATAGGAATGGGAAGGCCAGAGCTAGAGACCCCCCTTCCACCCTGGACAGCAAGACTCAGGGTTCAAGCTGCTGCAAGGAAGGGGTCACAGGTCGGGTGCACAAAGACCTTTCAGAACTGATCCCCTTCTGTGGTGTGTCTGTGCAGCATGAGACAGGGATCCCCACACAAACCGGAGCGCGGGCAAGGGCCGCAGGCCAAGTCCCCCACACAACTAAAACCATTACCTCTCCCCTGCCAAGCTCAGAGCTAAATCCAGGCAAGGTCCTTGCAGCTACCCTGATGTCACCCTCAAATCACCAAAGACAATGAGATGCGGAGGGCTGACGGGCACCAGACGCCAGCTGGCCCCACGGACTCTTCCAAGCACCTGACGCGTGTGAGCTCGCTCAAACCCTGCAGCAGCAATGCTGTGATCTCCGTTTTGCTGCTGAGCAGTCGGAAGCGCAGAGCTGTCACACAGCCAGCAAGTGGCTGGCCTGGGATTCGTCCAGGCCACACAGGCTCAGGTCCAGTGCTTGGCCTGTACCAGCCTGACCCTGACACATTCAACAGGAACTCCAAACCTGTTATCCAGACGCTGACCTGCCTGGGGCCATCCAGCCCCGTGGGGAGCAGCCCAGTTTCAAGACGGTGCAACCTTCCCTCTCCTCCCAGCAGGGGTGAGGCGTGCCCCCTCATCCCAGAGCGGTTGGCAGGGGGCTCTTACAGGTGACGTGGGGTTGCCATGCCGGTGCCACCCTTGTAGTTTCTCCAGAACTGCCTGGCCCGGACCCTTGTCCCTCCTAAGGACTTACCCTGCTCTTCCGGGGACCCTGCCCTTTCCAGTACCCGACCCCCACGGCTTGGAGCACTCCCCAATCCCCAGTGATACCCCCGCCTGGATTTCCCAGGACCCCAGCTTTTGCTGTCCTGATGACTGAGTGCGTCCTGAAGACCCACCCTGACACCCATGCACACTAGTTCTTCCCACGATGTACCCCATCTCCGTGGTTGTCACCTTTCACACTTGGCCTGCCCTCTCCCCACTTCTAAAACACCCAACTTCACATGGTCCTGGGTGACCTCTCACCCCACTTGCCCCTGCACTGCTGCCTTCACCCAAACTGGTCCTGCAGCTGGGGAGCCTCTTTCAAGCCTTAGGGGTGACAGCCTGGAGGGCCGCCGCCCGGGCACCCCACTCGGCTCGAAGACCCTTGCTAGGACCCCGCTAAGGCTTTTTCTCCGGCTGTCCCCTTTGCCGGACCGCGGGCATCGATGATCCGTGACCCCGCCGACCAGCCCCCTTGCCCGACCCGCTGAAGGGCCCCGCCGCGCCCCGGGGACCCCCGCCCCGCCCCACCACTGCCTTCGCCCTCCTCCTCCTTCCTCGCCTACGCCTGGCCGTCCGCCCCCGCCCCCAACCGCCCTCCCCCTGCCCCCTGCCCCCTGTCCCCTGCCGCCGCTGCTTGGCCCCAAGCCGCTGCAGCCCTCACCCCGACAGGCCGCGCCCAGACCCCGCGGCCCTCTCCTCGCGCTCTCCAACGCCTCTGCACGCCGTTCCGCCCCTCGTTCTCCGCATCCAATTAGTGCCGGGCTCCCGTGACGGATACGCCCATCAGAAAAGAAGCAGGGCATGAAACGCAGACTACTTGGCCAATCCAAAGGCTCAATGGCCCGTAGGGGGCGGAGCGTGACCTAGTGTCCCCACTGCCGATTGGTGAGCGGCCTGGCGGCGGGCGGCACCCTTGCGCGAATTGGAGAGCGCAGTGGTAGGGCGGATCCCAGGCGCCGAATGGTCCGTATCAAGGGCCGGGCGTGGCGATTGGGCGCCGGCGCTGTCATCATTGAAGCGGGGCGGGGCTTCCAGAGGGACCAAGGCCCCGGGGTCGCGAGTGCTGAGGCGGCGTCATGTCCTCCGACGTGGCCGCGCGCCGCGACGCCAAGAAGCTGGTGCGCTCCCCCAGCGGCCTGCGCATGGTGCCCGAGCACCGCGCCTTCAGCAGCCCCTTCGGCCTGGAGGAGCCTCAGTGGGTCCCGGACAAGGAGGTAGGTGGCCGCCGGCGGGAACCCCGGGACTCAGCCTGCGCCTCGCGACCCTACGCCGCCGTCGGGGCCCGGCTTCTGCGGCAGCGCTGTACCCCGGGCCGCAGGCCCTCCGCAACCTCCGGTTCTCCCGCTCGGCGGCAGGCTCCCCAACCCGCACGGCTCCGTGCCGCGCCCCCCTCTCCTGCCCACTCGCCGTCCTGCCTCCCGGCGCGGTCGGCGTGCGGAGTCCCCAGGCGGGCGGGGGTGCCCGGGGAGGCCCGCGCCTGCTCCAGGGCTGCCCGAAACGCGCGGAGACGTCCGGCTCCTGCCCTCCCTGGCCAGGCCCGGGCGGCAGAAGGCGTGCCTACCGCGGGGCGCCGGGCCCGCAGCGCGGGCGCCCCGCCGCCCCACGCCCTCGGTGTACTCGCCCCGGGTGCCTGCCCCCCGAGCAGCGGAGCGTCCGTCTCCTCACCTGGGCGGCGCTTAGTGCTGCCAGAAGGCCCCGAGGAGTAGGCGAAGCTACGCCTCTAGGGCTTGTGAGTACGTGTCAGAGGTGGCGGAGCCGCCTCGGTGCGGGAGCCGGCAGCTGTCAGCACGGCCCAGGCGGCGGCAGCACAGCGCCCGGCGGCGCGGGCCGCACGCGTCCGTGGGGCGACCGACGTCGCTCCCCAGGGGCCTCTTACTTGACATTTCTTCCCCCGGTAGATGCCCGTGAGATGGTGCCAGCACGGACCCGCCCCAGGTCTGCCTGGGGCTGTGGAGACGCGCTCGTTTCCACCGCGGCCCCCGAGTCCCACGGTTTGGCCTGCTCCGGAGTTAACCGCGGCGCCCCGCCTCTGCCTCTCCAGCCCCTTGGCGTTTCCAGGCACAGCCGTGTTTTCCTGCCTCCGTGGCCGTGGCCGTGCTTTGTGGGCGCGTGTTGAGGAACAGAGCGGTGGCCTGCGTCTGCTCTCCGGCCGGGCTGCCTCGAGAATTCTGGCCAAATTCCGAAGGAGTCGGGGTGAAATGCCCCAGTCAGTGCAGCACTCCTCCTGCAAGAGAGGTGCCATTCCTGGGTGGAGTGCCGGCGGGGTGCCCCTCCAGAAACACCTCTAGTTTGTTAGAATTGTGATGGCAGGTGGTTGAGCAGCCAGAGCTCTAAAGCCGAGCGGCTTTGGAGGGGAGGAAACCTCCCAGGGAACGTGGGCTTCTCTGCGTTTCGGAAAGTGAATTTGGGAATTTGTTGAGACATGGTCCAGGGTCCAGAAATTACCAGAGCGGCTCTGGGGGAAAAGAAACTTGGCGTGGGCCGCCTGGCTGGGCTGCGGGGAGGAAAGCCTGGGGGTGCAGCCCCACTTCCTCTGCCTCTTAAGTGCTGCTGGGATCGCTGTGTGCGGAGGTGACCCGGCATGGAGGTAACGCGCAGTGAGAAGTGCGTTTACCTGTGGTTTGGGATGGGGGTCAGGGCCACATATTGCCCTCACTCCTGTCCTTTATACCCCTTTCTTGGCTGCGCGCCCAGTTAGTGTCACTTTCTTCTCTAGACGTGCCTCCGTTTCTCGTTCTGGCTGTCTTCCTGGCAGGCCGAGGCCAGCCTTCCCGTCTACTTAAGACTTACTGGGTGCCTGACTCTGTGCCAGCTTATTAGCTTGGGCCACGAGGACATCCCTTAAAAATGTTGGAAAAATGTGCTACAGACCACCTCTCTGTGGTGGGGACAGACTTTGACCCCCTCAGTCGAACCACAATGCCAGTCATCCTCCTGTGGGGACAGCTTCTGAGAGGGGTTCCTGCCCATAAATCACTGAAAATTGCTTCTCAGGTGTAAACCCAGAGGACCAAGCAGTCTGTGGCTGCCTGTGAGCTTGAGGGGCGGGGGCCAGGACTTGGGAGCACGGAGGAATGGTCTGGGGGCTCCTGTGACTCCGCCATTAGTGTCCAGCGGCAAAGAGCGGATTTGCGGGTGGGCTGTCTGGGCGTGCAGCCAAAGGGCCCTGTCACAAGAAGCTTGAAATACTGAGCTCTGTCCCCCAACCCGTGTTGTTTTGCACCCCCTTCCTTTCATGCTCGGCACTGCGTGTTCCCAAGGAGGATGACAGTGCTGTGCTGTCATTTTCACACTCACTAGGTAGGTGCATAAGTGAGCAGAGGGAGAACAGGCATGTCACCTAAGAAACAACCCTGACTCACGTGAGGATCGTGTTCAGCAGGGTCGTGGCAGGTGGGGAAGAAAGCCTAGCCACGGGGTCTGCCAGCATGTCCGTAGTCAGGGAGAAGAGGACTTTGTTCAGGGGGTGTGAGGGGACAGCCTAGGAGAGAAGCAGGGGGAGTGGGTGGGGAGTGACCTGCCTGACGGCGGCTGGGGACACATCACTCCAGGTCCGCCTGTCTCAGGCTGTGGGTGGGTCACGGTTCAGGGGCCTGAAGAAAGGAGAGAGGCCTGACTCTAGCTTGATCAGTGAGGTTAGTTAATGGGCATTTTGTTCTCATTGCTAAGTAGGGACACACAGGCCAGCCAGTTCAAGAGTGGGTGGAGGACGGGAATTTGGGGTCCATGGCTGGCCTTGTGAACAGGGGCATCTATGAGTCTTGCCCCAGCCCCACGGGAAGGGGCTTCTTTGCAGACACCTTTGTGGATCACTGAGGGGCGGGGTCTCGAGGTTGCTGCCCAGGGTCACAGGTGAGCGCAGCTGCCTCTGTGGACTATGGACAACATGCTGCAGGACGTGGGGCAGTGACTGTCACAGGGCTGGCATCCCATTCTCTCTGAGCCTAGTGATAGCTTCACGTGGTAGGAGGCTGGCAGCCAGCGGGCACTCGAGTCCTGAGCCGTGGCGGCTCGGGGTGCAGCTGCCCTGCATGTGTCTGCTCTTTGGACTCTCCTTTGAGCAGGGTTTTTATTGGTTTTCTCATGTTAGTTCCCTCAGTGAGTTAAATCTTGACATGGGTTTGTTTTGTATTTTAGGAGTTGTGCTTTTACTCTTAAACAAGGCTTATTTTTCAATAAACACATGTATTTTTAAAATCCATTTTTGATTGATTTACTTATTTTTAAGGAATCGAAGAAATGGTCTCGTGTGAGCCTGGCACCAGCCAGCCAGGTGACATTCCTGTCAGCAGTGCCACACCCCAGGGCCAGGTGGGAGGGCGTGACTGCCCCTTGTCCTGAAATGCGTTCTTCTTACAGTAGCTGTTCGTTCCCGTACATTCCCGGGGAGCCTCCAGACTCTGCTTTCCGATTCTTCCAGCCTCAGGGCGGGTGCTGGGCCGCTAGCCTTAGGGGCTGCGCTGGTAGGAGGGCTGCCTGTGCTGGGGCCTTGCCCTCAGCCAGGTGGGGGGGAGCTGAGACCCGATGCTCTGAGACCCTTCTGTTCTGAAGCCTTAGATTCAGGCCTTTGCTGGTCTCTCTTCATTGCTCCTCACCCACCAGGGAGCTTATTTTACAGTGCCTGCCTTGCCTGCCAGCAGCAGCAGTAGTGACTGTCACCACCAGACCGCAGGCTGAAGGCCATACTGAACTCCATGGGGCCCCTTTTGGGGGTCTGCTCTCGCAGGTCTCGGTTCTTCCTGGTGATTGTGTCTGTTTCAACGTCAGCCCCAGCGTGGTGGTGCCTGGCTCGCCCAGGCCTGGGTGTGACACAGTCTGAGAGGCTGGGGCATCTTAGCCGCCTTTGGCTGCAGACGGTGGGAACTGGTGGATCATGCTGGCATTCTGGAATTGGGCACGTTCTGTCTCCCCGAGTAGTGGCTTCCCAGAGCCTCAGGAGGCTGCTGGCCCAGGTCAGTGCTTGTGGGTCCTGGTACTGGGCCTTGGCCTGTGGTTTTGCTTCCTTTCGGGAGGGCTTGTCTCTCAGACAGGCTGTTAGTTCTTGGGTGGTTATTTAAATCTCTATCTTTACCCATTGCTTGCTTTCTTTGTTCAATTTTCTTTCATGTTAAGTTGCTCTGTTGACAATTTTCAAAGTGTCTTTTACGTAGTCAGAAAATTACCTTGTTTAAAAATCTGTCACTTTTGTGAATAACCTCATTGGTTTTTTGATAAAAATTTGTAGATCACTTATATATACACATATATATATGTATTTTGGTATCATTAATCTACAATTACATGAAGAACACTATGTTTACCAGGCTCCGCCCCTCACCAAGTCCCCCCTCCCACCGCACTACAGTCACTGCCCATCAGCGTAGCAAGATGCTGTATAATCTCCACCTGTCTTCTCTGTGTTGCACAGCCCTCCCCGTGCCCCCCACACTATACATGCTAATCGTAAGGCCTCCTTTCTCCCCCACCCTGCCCTTCTCCCTCCGCTCCCACCCATCCTCCCCAGTCCCTTTCCCTTTGGTAACTGTTAGTCCATTCTTGGGTTCTGTGATTCTGCTGCTGTTTTGTTCCTTCAGTTTTTCTTTGTTCTTATAGTTCACATATGAGTGAAATCATTTGGTACTTGTCTTTCTCCACCTGGCTTATTTCACTGAGCATAATACCCTCCAGCTCCATCCATGTTGTTGCAAATGGTAGGATTTGTTTTCTTCTTATGGCTGAATAATATTCCATTGTGTATATGTACCACATCTTCTTTATCCATTCATCTACTGATGGACACTTAGGTTGCTTCCATTTCTTGGCT